TGGCCGTCTCTTTCCACAACTTCCTTGACTCCCAGTATGCTTTGCAGTTTCAATTCTGCTGTTTATTTCTAACTTCTAAGGACTATATACAGTTGCAAGCAAGAAAAAGTATGTGAACCCCTTGGAATTACGTGGAGTTTTGCATGAATTGGGCATAAAATGTGCTCTGAACGTCATCTAAATCACAACAATAGAAGAACACAGTCTGCTGAACATAATACTACACAAACATTAGATGTTGCCATGGTTTAATTGCACATAACATGTAAACATTCACAGTGCAGGGAGGAAAAAGTATGTGAACCTTTGGACTTAATAACTGGTTGACCCTCCTTTGGCAGCAATAACCTCAACCAAACGTTTCCTGTAGTTGCAGATCAGACCTGCACAACAATCTGGAGTCATTTTGGACCACTCCTCTTCACAAAACTGTTTCAGTGTAGCAATATTCTTGGGATGTCTGGTGTGAATCGCTCTCTTAAGGTCATGCCACAGCATTTCAATCGGGTTGAGGTCAGGACTCTGACTGGGCCACTCCAGAAGGCGTATTCTGTGCTGTTGCAGCCATTGTTTTGTTGAATTACTTGTATGCTTTGGGTCATTGTCCTGTTGCATCACCCATCCTCTGCGGAGCTTCAGTTGGCGGACAGATGGTCGTACGTTTTCCTGCAAAATGTCTTGATAAACTCTGGAATTCATTTTCCCATCAATGACAACAATCTGTCCAGGCCCTGAGGCAGCAAAGCAGCCCCAAAGCATGATGCTCCCTCCGCCATGTTTTACAGTGGGGATGAGGTTTTGATGTTGGTGTGCTGTGCCTTTTTTTCTCCACACATAGTGTTGTGTGTTCTTCCCAAACAACTCAATCTTGGTTTCATCTGTCCACAGTATATTTTGCCAGTAGTGCTGTGGAACATCCAGGTGCTCTTTTGCAAACTTGAAACGTTCTGCAATATTCTTTTTGGACAGCAATGGCTTCCTCCGTGGTGTTCTCCCATGTACTCCATTCTTGTTTAATGTTTTCCTTATTGTAGATGTGTCAACAAAAATGTTAGCAGGTGCCAGAGATTTCTGTAGGTCTTTAGCTGACACTCTGGGATTCTTCTTTACCTCATGCAGCATTCTGCGCTGTGCTCTTGCAGTCATTTTTACAGGACGACCACGCCTAGGGAGAGTAGCAACAGTGCTAAACTTTCTCCATTTGTAGACAGTCTGTCTTACCGTGGACACATGAACATCAAGGCTTTTGGAGATACTTTTGTAACCCTTTCCAGCTTCATGCAAGTCAACAATTCTTGATCGTAGGTCTTCTGAGAGCTCTTTTCTGCGAGGCATGGTTCACATCAGACAGTGCTTCTTGAAACCAGTAAACCCAAAACAGGTGTGTGTTTTTTAAGGGCATGACAGCTGTCAGCAACACATCCAATATCATCACACTGATTGGCGTCAAGGTGGGAGAAGTCATTAAGCTAGGGCCTCACATACTTTTTCCTCCCTGCACTGTGAATGTTTACATGTTATGTGCAATTAAACCATGGCAACATCTAATGTTTGTGTAGTATTATGTTCAGCAGACTGTGTTCTTCTATTGTTGTGACTTAGATGACGTTCAGAGCACATTTTATGCCCAATTCATGCAAAACTCCACGTAATCCCAAGGGGTTCACATACTTTTTCTTGCAACTGTATTTCATGGTACCTCGCTGCCTGCAGCAGAAACTCCTCCTCCCAGCTCCTCTGTAGTTCAGAAGGCAGGTTCTGTTAAACGTGTGACACAGCAGTGCTTACCCACAGGGTATAGTGACTTCGTGTCACAGAATTTCAAAGAAGTAAATGTGCGGGGATCTTCACAAAGCAAGTTTAAAAACCCAGCCGGCGTTTGCGGTGCTGTTGCGATGCGGTTGCAGGGCGTTTGCGGAGCATTAACACCATTCAAACTTCATTATAGGCGTTTGTGGGGGCGTTTTTAACGCTCGGCAAATGCCTAGCAACCGCTGCTGAACCGCGCATGCGGAGCATTAAAAACGCTCCACAAACGCCGGACCAACGCTTGTCAAATGCTATAGGGGCGTTTGGCAAGAGTTGGAAAAACAGTCAAGTGTGAACGAGCCCTTATAATCACCTGATGCTCCGCTCCATTGGCAAACCGTGCTCACCCACTTTGCAGCAGTGGACTGTTCCTGGTGTCCTTATGTCCAGAGTAGGTCTGTGGAGCTTGCTCTCTGCTTGATGATATCAGGAACAGTCTAGCACACAAGACCACTAGAGCACAGGGGTGCAGGAGCTGCAGGCATTGGTCACGTTTGGAGAGGATCAGGTAACTATGTCTTCTCTCCATCTCTCCCCTACTCCAAAATGAGCACATAACCCTTGCATTGTGGGCATATCCAATCCAGATGGCCAAAGACCGGCACCTTGAAGATGACGACGCTGGCAAGGGACCTTAGACTGTTAAAGAAAAGGTACTGGAGGACAACAAGAAAATCTCCCCTGGGACTTTCTTGCAGCAACAAAATAAAGATATAAAAATTATATATATAAATACAAAAAATCTGTAAATACCAGATTTTATTGTAATTTCATGTAAAATGCTTTCTTGATTAGAAACAAACGACTCTGGTCTTATCTACACAACTAGACTATTGTATACAGCTTCTTCCGTGTACCATTGCAGTATATCGTCTAGTTAACTTTAATCACAGAACGTTTATACATTCAAAGGGAACAGCATCAAAGTTGCAGTACAACATACAGTCAGGTCCATAAATATTGGGACATCGACACAATTCTAACATTTTTGGCTCTATATACCACCACAATGGATTTGAAATTAAACGAACAAGATGTGCTTTAACTGCAGACTGTCTTTAATTTGAGGGTATTTACATCCAAATCAGGTGAATGGTGTAGGAATTACAACAGTTTGCATATGTGCCTCCCACTTGTTAAGGGACCAAAAGTAATTGGACAATTGGCTTCTCAGCTGTTCCATGGCCAGGTGTGTGTTATTCCCTCATTATCCCAATTACAATGAGCAGATAAAAGGTCCAGAGTTCATTTCAAGTGTGCTATTTGCATTTGGAATCTGTTGCTGTCAACTCTCAAGATGAGATCCAAAGAGCTGTCACTACCAGTGAAGCAATCCATCATTAGGCTGAAAAAACAAAACAAACCCATCAGAGAGATAGCAAAAACATTAGGCATGGCCAAAACAACTGTTTGGAACATTCTTAAAAAGAAGGAACGCACCGGTGAGCTCAGCAACACCAAAAGACCCGGGAGACCACGGAAAACAACTGTGGTGGATGATCGAAGAATTATTTCCCTGGTGAAGAAAACACCCTTCACAACAGTTGGCCAGATCAAGAACACTCTCCAGGAGGTAGGTGTATGTGTGTCAAAGTCAACAATCGAGAAGACTTCACCAGAGTGAATACAGAGGGTTCACCACAAGATGTAAACCATTGGTGAGCCTCAAAAACAGGAAGGCCAGATTAGAGTTTGCCAAACGACATCTAAAAAAGCCTTCACAGTTCTGGAACAACATCCTATGGACAGATGAGACCAAGATCAACTTGTACCAGAGTGATGGGAAGAGAAGAGTATGGAGAAGGAAAGGAACTGCTCATGATCCTAAGCATACCACCTCATCAGTGAAGCATGGTGGTGGTAGTGTCATGGCGTGGGCATGTATGGCTGCCAATGGAACTGGTTCTCTTGTATTTATTGATGATGTGACTGCTGACAAAAGCAGCAGGATGAATTCTGAAGTGTTTCGGGCAATATTATCTGCTCATATTCATCCAAATGCTTCAGAACTCATTGGACGCCGCTTCACAGTGCAGATGGACAATGACCCAAAGCATACTGCAAAAGCAACCAAAGAGTTTTTTAAGGGAAAGAAGTGGAATGTTCTGCAATGGCCAAGTCAATCACCTGACCTGAATCCGATTGAGCATGCATTTCACTTGCTGAAGACAAAACTGAAGGGAAAATGCACCAAGAACAAGCAGGAACTGAAGACAGTTGCAGTAGAGGCCTGGCAGAGCATCACCAGGGATGAAACCCAGCGTCTGGTGATGTCTATGCGTTCCAGACTTCAGGCTGTAATTGACTGCAAAGGATTTGCAACCAAGTATTAAAAAGTGAAAGTTTGATTTATGATTATTATTCTGTCCCATTACTTTTGGTCCCTTAACAAGTGGGAGGCACATATGCAAACTGTTGTAATTCCTACACCGTTCACCTGATTTGGATGTAAATACCCTCAAATTAAAGCTGACAGTCTGCAGTTAAAGCACATCTTGTTTGTTTCATTTCAAAAATCCATTGTGGTGGTGTATAGAGCCAAAAATGTTAGAATTGTGTCAATGTCCCAATATTTATGGACCTGACTGTAGCTTTCCTCAGTGAACTTTCCAACGAGTTTTGACTACATACAAGTCTTCATCAAGGAAAACTGGAGCAATACCAGCATATATAAGCAAAAAAGTACATATGGGTAATACCATTGTTTGTACTGTACTTTTTTTTCCCTTTTGAATGTATAAATGTTCTGTGAATCATGTTGACTAGATGATATAATGCAATGGTACACGGAAGAAGCTGTATACAATAGTCTAGTTTTGTAGATAAGACCCGAGTCTTTTTTGTTTCTAATCATGAAAATGTTTTACATGGAATTGCAATAAAATCTGGTTTTTACTGATCTTTTTGTATTTATATATAAATAATTTTTATATCTCTTTGTTACTGCACGAAGGTCTCGGGAGATTTTCTTGTTGTCGTCCAGTATTGTTTTAGGGATGAAGCAGCAGGTAATTCACAAGCACATCACGCCTTTTGTCTGCATACGTTAAAGCAGAACAGACTTTAGTTCCACTTTAAATGTTTGTTTTTGGTTTTAATAACACTTTAATTCTAGCTCCATACAAATACATGCTTGTTTTTAAAGTATTTGTTTGCGCAGTAACAGCATTTTCATTCCTACAGGTTTCTGGATGGACACCTCTTATGTGACCAGCGCCAGGCGGTTAAGGAGTACCAACCGTCGATCTGCTGCCTACACCAGTGCCACATCTAATAGCCTCCAGAGTCAGGGTTCAACGGGAGTCACTCTACAAGACTCGTTGGTGAGAAACTTGGACAGTGACTTATCTGCGTCTGTCGCTCACAAGACAAACAGCCTCAGGGAGGACTCTGTGCTGTATGAAGAATCGGAGCAGCCAGAACACAACGGCAACGTCAAGTCACAAGTGGTCACTTCCAGGAAAAGTAAAAGATGGCCATCCAGATTATTCTCTATGTTCTGCTGCCTTCTGATTGTCAGCATCCTCGCTGTTCTGCTTGTATTTGCTTATATTATACTGCAAGGTAATTCTCCCTTACAATTTACATGGAGCAACTGTGATTTAGTTTGCAGACCCATTTCCAGAAGTCCAACTATGCAAAGGAAAAGTAAAGATTGTGGAATGGAGTTTTAGTAAATACATTGGGAGGCTGGGGTATGATTGTATTCTTTGTTTTCTGTTCTGTTGGTGAAATAATGACCTCTCTTGTGTAGAAATGCGCTATGGAAAAGAAAGTGAAGATGGAATGAAAACAAGTATTTTAGGTAAGAAACATTGAATGAATTGCGCGGTTATGCAACACTTTACCCGCATGAAATTTACATCAATTTTTTTCACACAAATAGAGCTTTCTTTTGTTGCTCACCTATTATCACCACTGGGTTTTTATTATATTAAAAAAAACTATTTTTTACTTTCTGCTATAAAACATATCCAATAAAAAATGTATTTAGGCCAAAATGTATTCTGCTGCAAGAAAAAAAAATCCCAATAAGTGTGTATGTGTATGTATATATATAATCTCTATCTATCACAGTTGTGTTCAAAATAATAGCAGTCAGACATCACTAACCTGATCAATCACTGTTTTTGGTAGAAATGATATTTCTACATGGCAGATAATTTACTAGCAGGTGTAGTAGAGTAATAGAAATCCAACAGACCCAACAGTCATGACATGCATGCTGCTGATTCTGTGTCATTGAATCACTAATTGAAAGGGGCATGTTCAAAAAAATAGCAGTGTGGAGTTCTATTGCCCTTATTTAAGGAAGGAAGGCAGCAAATGTACATGCTGGTTACAGTGCATTTCTCTCTGAAATTCTGAGGAAAATGGGTCGTTCCAGACATTGTTCAGAAGAACAGCGTACCTTGATTAAAAAGTTGATTGGAGAGGGGAAAATATATAAAGAAGTGCAGAAAATGATAGACTGCTCAGCTAAAATGCTTTAAAATGGTAACCAAAACCTGAAAGACGTGGAAGAAAGCGAAAAACTACCATTCAAATGGATAGTAGAATAGCCAAAATGGCAAGGCTCAGCCAACAATCAGCTCCAGGAAGATGAAAGAAGGTGTAAAGTTACCTGTGAGTACTGTTACAATTAGAAGACGCCTATGTGAAGCCAAGCTATCTGCAAGAAGCCCCCGCAAAGTCCCACTGTTGAAAAAAAGACATGTGCTGAAGAGGTTACAATTTGCCAAAGAGCACATTGACTGGCCTAAAGAGAAATGGCGCAACATTTTGTGGACTGATGAAAGTAAGATTGTTCTTTTTGGGTCTAGTGGCCGGAGACGGTTTGTCAGACGACCCCCAAACACTGAATTCAAGCCACAGTGCACTGTGAAGACAGTGAAGCATGGTTGCGCAAGCATCATGATATGGGGATGTTTCTCATACTTCGGTGTTGGGCCTATTTATCGCATACCAGGGATCATGGATCAGTTTGAATACATCAGAATACTTGAAGAGGTCATGCTGCCTTATGCTGAATAGGAAATGCCCTTGAAATGGGTGTTCCAACAAGACAACGACCCCAAACACACCAGTAAATGTGCAACATCTTGGTTCCAGACCAACAAGATTGATGTTATGGAGTGGCCAGCCCAATCCCCGGATCTTAATCCAATAGAAAACTTGTGGGGTGACATCAAAAATGCAGTTTCTGAGGCAAAACCAAGAAATAGAGAAGAACTGTGAAATGTAGTCCAATCATCCTGGGTTGGAATACCTGTTCACAGGTGCCAGAAGTTGGTGGACTCCATGCAACACAGATGTACAGCAGTTCTCAGAAACAGTGCTTATACAACTAAATATTTATTAAGTGATTCAAAGGAAAGCAAAATCTTCAAACATTTTTCAGTTTATATAGTGAATGTTTGAGTTTGTAAAGAATACAAACACTGCTATTTTTTTGAACAGTCTAATATTCACTTTTCTTCAATTTTTTTAGAGGAACAACACAAATTTGATATATTTTTCTTCATGTTTTGATTTGGAATAGAATGTGTAGTGTTCCCAATGCATTTGTGTGTATGGAAATAAAAGCTATTAGAAGGATTTTGAGCTTTATTCACTTTTTTTTCAACACACTGCTATTATTTTGAACACAACTGTATATATACATACTGGAATTTTATTTTATTTTTTTTTTTATACTAGTAATGGCGGTGATCAGCAACTCATAGTGGGACTGTGATAGTGTGGGGGGGCACTTGCTGACGCTGGCTTTGGGGGTACACTAACTGACATCAGTAGTGACACTAATACAGTGATCAGTTTTAATACTATACACTGTCACTATACTAATGACACTGGGTAGGAAGGGGTTAACATTTGGGGTGATCAAAGGGTTAGCTATGTGCCTAACAATGTGTAATTATGTGGTGCTTTTACTAAGCAATCTTGTTTTCTTTTCCCCTGCTTTGCAGAGAATAAAACAGCAAGATTGCTTGTTATTTTACAGAGCTCTCTTTTGTGAATCACGGAGCCGATCAATGGGTCCTGGCTATCAATCATTTGCCGAGACCCACTGATGGGCTTGTGTTGTAACAAATCACTGCAGAGCCAGGGTGGCAGGCATGCGTGCGCCCTACCGGGAAGTGCTGATCACATACCAGATACGGGATCCAGTGCACAGCAGCTGCCTTGCCGTAGTAAATGGATGTGGGGCGGTCGCTAAGCGGTTAAAGTATATATGAACCCTCATCTTGTAAAACATCAGTTTAAAATAGAAATGAAAGGCAAAATGTTTTTGTATAGATATATCAAATCTTATAAATACCTTTTTTAAATAAAATAAAATACGTTTCAATATTTTTTTCATTACATGTTTTTTCTCACTAATTGTTTGTCACGTTGTTAAGTGCTGCACTGTATATGTATTATTATATATGCCTGTTCTCTGCTGCATAAGAAGCTTGGAGAGCTGGGGGAGGAAAAACAGCACTACACTGATCTTCTCAATGAATGTCTGTGCAGGGGGGAGCATGTCAGGACAAGTCTGATCATTGGAGGAGAGCAGGCTGAGTTCTCAACACAGCCAGAAAACTGACCATGCTGTGCTCTCATGCCTAGTGTGGTTAGTTTTTAACAGGAAAGCACAGGGAGTGGCAGGAACACCATGGATTTCACACAAAGGAGCAATACAAAGAGAACAGGATAATTTTCATACAAGTACATGGTACAGCAGGCACATATTGGGAATATGAAATGCTGGATGAGTACCAGCCTGTATTACACCTTCATATCTAGGCCATTTTTCAGTTTTCAGGGGTCATGCAACACTACTACTCATGAATTTTATATAATTTGTGACACAGAGCTTTAAAAAAAGTGTTTCTTGTTTGCTTTTACAAAGTGTATGAAATTATAATTCCAGGACAGTAGGAACACTCCCAAAATGTTCTCTTTACATACTACACCTCAAGGTAATCCTATTTTTTTTCCACAATTTTTTGGGTAAATGAAAAAGCATGTTGGTATTGGGGGAGTTACTCATGGAACCTGGCAATGATGCTCTAGATGCCATGCATTGTTAATGTATAGGTCATACACACAGGGGCTGAGAGGGTTAATGTACAGGTCACATACAGTGGGAGGATGGTGATGAGGGGGTAATGTTCAGGAAAAGGAAGATAAAAGTGTTAATATACTGGCACTGCAGAGACAGGATGGAGATAAGATGCACAGGAGAGGGTAAGTGGGGGGGGGGGGGGGGGGGGGGCTGAAAGGGTTTAAAGTAAAAACTATGCCACATTTAAATAAATCAAATGTGCTGCTGGTCAACATTCATTCCATAAATCCTTCATTAATAAGATAAATTTTCCTCTATTGTGAGAGTAAGAGGACGGCCCTTGAAATGAAAACACTAGAAGTGTTTACATTTGTAAGAGCTGTGATAGGCTATTGTAGCGATCCTAAGGCATAGAACCACTCCGATTGGCTCTGTACTTTTTGCCTATGATCTGTGCTTCCTGACAGTGCAACCAGAGGCATTGTACATACAGAAGTAGTAAACTGAACTCCATTTTAAACGGTGCTCCTAAATCCCACAGCCACCTACCTGTAAGTTTAAATCGTTGTTGAGCACTGGTTAGTTGAAACGCTGGCTTCCCAGACCTCTTAATGATCCAAGTCTACCAACTCCAGTTTACTAATCTATACTGCATTATGAGAGTCGATGGGTAGAAAATGTCGATTGGCTTGATTCTTTATGGCTGTGGCTGTGTTTGGGAGATCTTGCTGCTGGAGTTACCAAAAAATTAAAAAATTCACCATGAAATAAACCAAAACTGCAATATCAGTTTTTGTTGTAGTTGGCCTGTGAAGCTTAGTCATACATCAAAATGTTGTCACTGTAGTGAGGAGAATTGAAAACCCATACTGATTGCTTGATAAGCATTGTTATCATTTGGCTTGTGTCCTTATATAATTCATTTGTACATTGTAAATTTGGTCTCATGGACAATGTTCTTCATTGTCAGGGTTCTGGAGTCTGCTGGTCTTGTCACTGGTTGCTGGCCTCTCTTGCTGCAGCTTCTCCTGGACTGTCACTTATTTCGACTCTTTTGAACCAGGAATGTTCCCCCCAACTCCTCTCTCCCCTGCACGCTTCAGGTGAGTTCTTGCTTTTTGTGGTGTATACCAGTTGAAGGCAGAAAGCACCCCTGTGTTTGGCAGCTAATGGCGCGCGGGTAGGGCGTGTGCTCCTCCTACCCAGAAATGCAAATTCTCTTTTATATACGTGATTTTGCGCACAGCTGCCGCTCTGTAGCAATATTTCTGCTCTAGGGCAGAGCTAAAGCAGTTAAAAGCTGCAAGGTGATTTCTCTCCCTTTCCTGTCCATACCAGTGTCCCTTTAAAATGTTCTGAACGCTGTGTGATGGGTAAGATTTATTTATTTATTTATTTCAGGTACTTCTATAGCGCTGTCAATTTACACAGCACTTTACACATATATGTTGCACATTCACATCAGTCCCTAACCCTCAAGGGGTGTACAATCTAAGGTCCCTAACTCACATTCATACATACACATATTAGGGCCAATTTAAACAGGATCCAATTACCTACCAGCATGTCTTTGGAGTGTGGGAAACGGAAACCGGAGCACACCGACGCAAACACAGGGAGAACATGCAAATTCCATGCAGGAGGCACCATGGTCGGGAATCGAACCCATGACCCATTTATTGCAAGGCAGACGTGCTAACCACTAAGCCACTGTGCCACCTTATGACCATTGTGAATGGCTGTCACAGTGGTCACATGATTAGGAGCTGATCATTTGTGGGGACCAAATGCTGTCAGCTCGGTCCCCCTGCTGTGAGAACAATTTTATCACAGAAATATCAGCCACACAACAATGCCTTAAAGCCCACTATTTTGCCACCCACATATGTGTTAGACAGTTGTAAAAGGGGTTAATTTTCTTAGGCCCTGTACCTGCTTGGTGAATTTTTTCAGAAGGTGAACTTGCCCTTTTTAAATGTGAGAATAAAGGATTCTGTAAATCTTAGTTTTAGGCGTTTCACGTGTAATTCTTTTTTTTTTTTTGTTTTTTTTTTTTTTTTTTTGCTACAGGAGACAACTCAGCAGTAGCTGCTTCTGTTTTGATTAAATCCCCACATGGTCCCTAATTCCAGAGCGGGATGGTGGTTCGCTCCTTTTGATTTGCTCAGCTGTGTGTGTAATTACAGCTTTAGCTATTCAGCTCTGTCACTGGATTTTGTTTTTTTTACAAAGAAGCTATGGTTAACCATATAAACATTTGATTGTTTGTCAGGTTTAAACACATGAGTGTATAGGTAGGCCCTATATATATTTTAGTCAGGGTGATCATAACACTGTACAGTTCAGTAAAAGTTGTGGATCTGTGTAACTAGTCAAATAATGGACAAATAGGACATTTTAAAGTGGTATTAAAGCATCATGCTCACAGGGCGTTTTTGCAGCCAATTTTAGGGGAGTTCTTTTTTTACTGCTTCCAAACGGCTCTCCATGTTATCCTAGGTGGCCACGCACACACAGACTTTTAGAAGGTTTTAGTAGAACTATCGTTTACTAGCAGGAAAGAAAACCCAGGGCCAGTACATCCAGGAGCAGCAATGTTTTGGTAGAAAAAACACTTGATGCGTGTAAACGCGTGTTAATGCTAGGCACGGTTAGTGCTTGCGCGTTAATTCGTTTCAGTGGTCAGAATAAATTATTATTCTGGCCAATTAAATGAATTAACACCGAAGTGCTTGACACCTGTTAACACGCCTATATGCTTGTAAAAGCATTAGACACTTTAGCAAGTTTCAGGCGTTTTTTTCTGACAAAACACTGCTGCCAAGAGGAGGAGCATTTTTAGAATGTCCTGTGTGCATTAGGCCCAAAGGTTCAGCTTTTTAAAAAAGGGGAAAAAAAAACCAAACATGTCATACTTACCTGCTCTGTGCAGTGGTTTTGCAGAGACCAGCCCTGATCCTCTTTTTATCTTGGTCCCCTGCCGGCGCTCCTCCTCATTGACCAATGCCCCCAATAGCAAACTGCTTGCTATGGGAGCACCTGTGCATGCTCCTCCCGAGCCCTGCTCTATGCATCTATAAGACCTATAGACCCGCCCCTGCTCTTTACTCATTGGCTCACAGGCTGTGATTGACAGCAATGGGAGCCAATGGCTCCCGCTTCTGTCTCAGCCAATGAGGAGAGGGAGTACCTGGACATCCAAGGCTCTTGTGTGCGTTGCTGTATCGAGAGGGGACACGGGAGTAGGGGGGGGGGGGGGGCAGAACACAGGTTTTACTTTCATGCATAGAATGCATGAAGGTAAACAACCTTCAGCCTTTACAACCACTTAAAAGCTGATAATGGCATCAGTAGAAACTGATGAGAGATCTCACTTTCTCCACAATGGGGAAAAAAGTTTTGCCTTTAGTTACACTTCAACCCGTTCCCGCTCAGCCACTGTACATATACAGGCGAGCAGGACAAGCACCGTTCTGGGAGGATGTACCCATACGTATTCCCAAAACTGCATGCGCACAACCCTGTTCACTGATCCGGATACCGAGCGGCTCTGCTGTGCCCTGGTACCATAATATCACGGTGACCAATTAGTGTTCACATGTCTAGTATTAAACATGGCTGTAATTCCTACAGTCATTGAAAACTACTGTGATTGGTCACAGTGATCACATGGTACAGGACCAAGCACAGCCTCTCTGTACCATGTGATAGCTGTAGCCAATCAAAGCTATCACAGTAGTTCTCGATGGCTGCATGAATGCAGCCAGGAAATGTCAGAAATCATTGCTTATACAGCCTAGGTGAGCAGAGTGGAAATGGGAGCAGGTACCTGTTTCAACCCTTCAAAAGTGATAGAGGTGGGGGGAACGAAGAAGAGGATGAGCAGAAGTTGCACTTTAAGGGCTGGTTCACACTAGAATTACACTGTAATATGGTGTGTTTTCCTGTGCATTCCCCTGCAGTGCCATTTTCAGCCCATTTATTGGAATGGGCTTAGATCCCACTGGATTACACAAAACGTAGTGCTTTAAAATGCTCCGCACCAAGTCACATGGTATTTGGGTAGCACGTGATCTGGTGCTCGCAAATGCATTGCATATGCAATCTGTTTGGATTGCCATTAACAATGTAATGGCACCCGCAACAGTTCGCAAGGATAATGTGTTTTGAACACACAACGCGCCTTTCCTGCACTGCATTCTGGTGTGAGCTGGCCCCAATTCCTTTTTTTTATAACTGTTAAAAAAAAAAAAAATCCAGTAGGCTAAATTTTACGTGGTTGCATTAAAGGTACAGTGCATTTTTACATGCATTAGCAGTCATCTCTATGAGAAGTTAGGATTATAAAGATATGATATCCAACACAGGGTGATTACTGTGAGGATATGTGCAATGCTCTCAAGTGCCACATCCTATTCAAACTATTGGAAAAGAAAAAGGGCCATTTGGTGGACTTTATAGGCACTACAACAGTGATAGATAAAATTATTGCTTTATTGAACATACATAGACGTACAAAAATTATTAAAATCCTCTGCAGAGAATGTACTTCCACAGTAAATGGAATTGTACACTCAATGCGGATGCAAATCGTACAGATACATATGGTATTGATAAATTCCACAATAGAAGTATACTGTAACCCGGTAAAGGTTTGAAAACCGATATTCTGATATCAATGGCTGTAGTAACTCGACATGTTTCCAGATAATATCGCTTCTTCAGGAATTGTAAATAGATTTGTGCATAAAGAGAATGGTATAGATTTGTAAGCAGCATTTTATATTTTCCAATATTCATCATACAGATCAATTTGGTAAATAGTCATACCTTAATCTACAGGCATCTGTGCAGGGGCTGTGAAAGAGGGCCTCAAGCCTTCCCATAAGGGGCCAGTCAGTGGGGGGGATCCCAATAATCCAAGAGGGCAGGCGGCAGCCCCCCAAAGGCTTCCTGACGCATTAAAAAAAAAAAAAAAATGATGCAACTGTTAAGAAACATGATGGGGATCTCCTAGATGGTAAATGGGGGGGTATGCGGATATAGAAATTGGATTAACCTCCCCACTGATAGGGGTGCACTAATGTCACCAATCCCGGTCCAAGTAGGGCGCATATAACGGAAACCAGCAGTAGACTAGTATGGTATGGAGGTGCGATCGCATCACCAATTCTGGTCCAAATAAAGTACATGCAGAAGACACTAGCAATCAGCTAGTATAATATGTGAAGAGATCCTTGAAAGAGGACACAAAAGAAGGGAGAATGCTTAATTGTTATTTAGTCTATGGGGGGGGGGGGGGGGTTGAAACTATTCAATTCCCCACCGTTAAAATATCACGGGGCAACAATTTAGTGAGATCCAATATACAGGGAGAACAGTAAATATCCAATCCTACCTTAGTATATAGAAATCGAGCCACAAGAGAGAGATTCCCCAATGTAATGGCACAGTATTTACGTTGGAATAGTCAAGTAGGGTCAGTCACAAATCCATCTGTAAAGAGACAGCAAAACAGCTAAGTATTATCCCAGACACACAGCCCAACTATGGGCGACAAAATTCCCATATATGTATATAATCATTGACTCTTCAATCATTGACTCTGTCCATAAAGACGGTACACCGACCACAAAAGATCCCGAAGCCACTGGCTGCCAAAACCTCCAACACCACTTCACCCACCAGTGCCTGTCTGGAAAACACTAGTTTCCCCACTGTTACAGCCTTTTGGACCGCCACAGACCGTCCCAATTTAAGGGATCTTGGTGGTCTCGGCAGGGTGGCGCGTGACGTCACCATGTCCGGCCACGCGACCCCACCACAAAGATGGCGGCGGACGCGCACAGACTGGCGACACCACCAACGATCATCAATGCGCTGACAGCAATGGCCAGGAAGCGCCGCAAAGTTGGGCCCCATCCTCACACCAAGGTAGGGGGAGCTCCCTGCCGCGGCGCCACTGGCCGCTCACTGACCAAGGGCCACTAACGGGGACATCGAACCCTCCTCCTATCAAGTCTCCCCAGGGGGACCTGGGCCCCCACACGTATGCCTGCGAATATAATGAAATCATACATCGATTAATTAGCATATAGGATAT